CACTATACAATAAATACATGTAATGAAATTCAACTTGTACTCCCTAAATCTAATAAAATTTCAAAAACGAAAATAAAATAGAATAGTAGACCAAGCACAGTGGCTCACGCCTGTAATCCCAGCACTTTGGGAGGCCAAGGTGGGAGAATCACTTGAGGCTGAGAGTTCGAAACAAGCCTGAGCAACATAGGAAAGACCCCCATCTCTACAAAAATAAATAAATAAATAAATAAAAACATTAGTTGGGCATGGGAGTGCTTGCCTATAGTCCCAGCTACTCAGGGCGCCGAGGTGGGAGGATCCCTTGAGCCCAGGCACTTAAGGTTACAGTGAGCTATGATCACATCACTGCACTTTAGCCTGACAACAGAGCAAATCCCCGTATCTTAAAAAAAAAAAATGTAATATTTTTTCCCGCATGGATTTTGGCCTTAATTTTTATTTTTAAAATATTGCATTCAGATATAATTTATCTTGATTACCGAGTTTTGCTGCTCCCTTAATTTTGCACCTTGAGGCACGTGTTTTGCACACCTCCTCGTACTCTTGCTCCTGATGTGAAGCTATACTGAAAGCAGGTAGCTCGAATTTGTACATACTTGCCATTCGGGAAACGTGTAGTTTTTTCTTCTTTATTTTGCTTTTGTTCAATGTCCAACTTTCAACAAAAATATATTCAGTGTAGGGTATGTGCAAGGCAACGCCGGGGATTGTCAAAGCTGATGCTCACATAAGACAGGAACTTAATTAACTACAGCCATAGAAATAAGGGAGGTGCACAATCACAACTTAAGGTAGAGAAGTGCTGTAAGAAGTAAAGAAAAGAGGCTGTGAGTGAGTATAGAGGTTAACTTTTATTTGGGTGAACTTGGAGAAACTTTTGGAGGTCACATTTGAGATGGAACTTAAAGAGGGACATTAAATGGGTAGGATATAGCCCATATCCTTTATATCCTTTTGCGATTGTGTAGAAAATCAATCAGTCAATCAATAAAATGGGTAGGTTTTGTGATAATTCAAAAAACAGACATGACAATGGCACAGTTATTTTTTCTTTGGTAAAATTCCACATAATAACGTCAATGTAGACTTTAACAGTGTCAGCTATAACAAGTAATCCAAAAGGGCTTACTTGCCTTTTTGTAGGATTCTAAATCCATTTTAAATTCCTCAGCCTGCAAGAGATTACTGACAATGTCCCTTAGTGGGACCCCCATAGGTGGGACACAAATCCTTCTGTTGGGAAAGTGTAAACTGGGTATCATTCCTCAATGCCGGGGTTACTGCTGCCCTCTGGTGGTAAGAAGAAATGTTGCTGGGAAAGCAAACCACAAGCACCCTCCCCTCCCATCTGCCATACAAAGATCTGAGTGGTTGAGATTGCTGTTAGTGATAAGGTCGTTAGTACTCACGAAGCAACAACAACAACAATAACAAAGAACGGTGATTAGAAATTGAAACTCTACTGGAGACTGAAGGACAAATGCATTAATGATGACTCTCACCCAGAGTACATTGATTGCTTAAACAATATACAGTACGGGAGTGGCAAAAATCACATGACAGGAAGAAGCAGGGGCTAGAGATAAAATTTTTTGTTTGTTATCTTCCAATTCTTCTGCCTGGACTGATCAACAAGCCACAGAGTACAAAGTAATAGACTAACAGGAGCTAAGAGATTATTTAGAAACCTGTCTACCAATGACAGAGGGAGTAAGACCAACAGAATCAATCGGGTTCTGGAAGGATTGGACTTCCATGTGCAAACATAAATAAATAAAAGGAATCTCCACCCTTACCTGCATCTTTACAAAAATTAACTCAGAAAGGATCATAGATCTAAGCATAAAACTTAAAAGTAAAATTTACAGAAGAAAAAAGAGGAAAAATCTTTGTGATCTTGGGTTAGGCAAAGATTCCTGGGTAGGACATGAAAAGTATAAGCCATAGAAGAAAACAATTGATAAACCTGGCTTCATCAAAATGAAAACCTCTGCTCTTTGAAAGACCCTTTTAAGAAAATGAAAAGATTAGCCATAGACTGGGAGAAAATATTTACAAAACACGTATCTGTTAAAGGACTTATATTCAGAGTCTGTGTGTGTGTATGTGTGTATATATACACTTACAACTCAACAGTAAGAAAACAAGCCAATTAAAAAATGGGCACAATTTTGAACAGACAATTCACCAAAGAAAAGATAGATATGGCAAATAAACACATGAAAGGTACATAACACTAAGGAAATGCAAATTAAAACCTCTACACAGCTATTAGAATGGCAAAAAGTTAAAAATAAAAAGGAGGGTACCAAGTGCAGACTGAGGATGCAACTATAGCTCTCATAGATTGTTGGTAGAAATGAAAAATAATATAGCCTCTTTAGAAAACTGCTCGGAAGTTTCTCCTATAAACATACAATTAGGGCCGGGCATGGTGCCTCACGCCTGTAATCCCAGCACTCTGGGAGGTCGAGGTGGGAGGATTGCTCGAGCTCAGGAGTTCGAAACCAGCCTGAGCAAGAGCGAAACCCTGTCTCTACTAAAAAAAAAAAAGAAAAGAAAAGTCACATTATGAATTCAGTTGAAAATCATGATTATATTCATTTCATCACTTATTCAATAAATATTCATTGAGTATTTGCCAATTTCACGCACTGTTCAAGGTTCTGAGAACACAGCAATGAAGGAAACAGACAAAGGTCCCCTACTCATAAAACTGATATTTTGATGGGGAAGAAAAACAATAAGAAATAAACAAATAAATATACTACATAAGATGGTTTCAGATAAGTTCTATGAAGGTAAGAGGGGTTTGGGGGCATCTCCCAAGAGAATGATTGGGGGTGTGCTACTTTGTATGAAGTGGCCCGGAAAGAACTTCACATTGGACCAGAGAATGGAGTGAAGTGAGGAAGTGAAGCACGTGAATATCTACAGAAGGACAGTTCCAGGCAAATGCAATGCCCTGAGGCAGGAGTACGCTTGCAATTTTCTAGGGCCATATAGAGGCCATGGGAAGGACATCAGATTTTATTCCAAAACTGATAGAAAGCCTTGGAGAATTTTGAATAGAGGAATCATAAGATCATTCTCATATTTTAAGACAGCGTGGCAAATAAACCAAAGGAGGACAAAAGTGGAAGCTATTTCAGAAGTCCAGGTAAGAGATAATGGTGGCATGGACTAGGACCGTAGCAGTGGGAATGGTAAAAATTAGTCATATTTGGGATGTATTTATTTTTAAATAGAACTAAGACAAAAGGCTGGTATGGTAGTTTTGGTGGAGTATGGAGAAAAAGGAGAAAAAGATGACTCCTGAGATTTGAGCCTTTGCAACTGGGAGAAGTGCAATTGAATAAAGATGTCTAATACCGTTGGATATGGGGGTCTGGAATGCAGAGAAGAGTGTGTTCCAGGGTGATATCTAGGTGATACTTGACTGACAGGTGGTTCAAGAACTGAGTCCTGGGGCAATCCGGATGATGAAATGTGCCAACTGTGGCCGATGGAATAAAATGAGGACTGGGAATGACCATTCAAAGCCACTGGAGTAGGACATAACGGTGTCTGTGGGGGAAAGAAAAGCCTAATTGGGGTATGCTCAAAAGTGCATGGATTTCTTCAATGAATAAATTAGTGAGTGTGTGTGTGTGTGTGTGTGTGTGTGTGTGTGTGTGTGTGTGTTTGGGGGGTGAGATGGGAGAAAGGAACCTATAGATTAAAAGGTAATTAAAAGACGCATGGCCGGGCGCGGTGGCTCACGCCTGTAATTCTAGCACTCTGGGAGGCCAAGGGGGGGTGGATCGCTCAAGGTCAGGAGTTCGAGACCAGCCTGAGCAAGAGCGAGACCCCGTCTCTACTAAAAATGGAAAGAAATTAATCGGACAACTAAAAATA